ATTGGCAGATGAGGGAAGAAGTTCAAAGTGGCTATTTTGCCTGAGGAAACATAGTAACAAGAGGCAAAGTCCGGACTTAAAGATGTTGTGATTTCAAGGTCAGGGCTCTTTTCATTACCTCTAAATCCCTTTCCAGATCACAGAAGAGATATTAAAGTTTTCACCTGCTAATATATAAGATACTCAAAGAAAGTTCTGGGGGTTCCATGATGGCTGAGAGAGACTTTGAATGGGAGGGAACACTGGAAGAGAAGCTATGCAGATGCATTAGCCGGAGCCAATGGAATTGAGCTCACCAGTAGAGCACCTGGACTTGAGAGGACCTGAGGACACATTACACAGAGAGCATCCAGTAGCAAGGGTCATGGGACCCAGAGACAAAGGATGACAGCAAAAGATGTGGTCATGGTATCGAGGGATATTTAACATGAAACCTTGAGATACTGAAATGAACTTTTACTTAATGAAGAATGTCTTCCATGGGCTGATTTTCTCTGCATCAACAAAGTTTCCATCCTCCATATTGTGAAGAAGGGGGTTACAAGTACAGAATTGGTATGGGCATCCTGGACAATCCAATGGAACACTTGCCCATTGTCCTCCAGTGTCCACACAGGATTTATGCTAAGAGAACATGGACACCCTTGCTAACTAAATGTTGTCATTCCATACCCCCAAGGATTTCTGTCCTGAACCACATAAAAATGCAAAAGTATAAATGGCAGAATTCTTTGCTAGCTGAGACGCCTCCCATCTTTTATTTCTATCACGTTAGGGTTAGGATATGACATAACTTTCACTTAAATATTAAATTGAAATTTTCTTTATCTCACCGATTTTCTTTCAAGACCATCTGTACTAACATTTTCTTTCATTTCTCCTTGACTCGGTTTACATCAAATTCTCAAGCAGTGAAGCAGTTTTCCTTGATAAGGGCTCTCAGATTCACACTTTGAAAGGCTCTAAGTAAATTTCCTGTTTTCCTGAAAAAGTTCCCTAATGCTGTTTGCCTCTCTTCTTTTGCATTTGGAAATCTCTAATTGGACAATTCAGTTGAAATTTTTGCTTAATTATTATACATATGTGTGAAATATACTAGTATCTGAATGCATGCCTACAGAGGTCTCTTTGCTGTTGCAATTTTATCGAAGTGTTTCCAGAATCCATTTGCATAATGCAGAGTCTTCAGTGTACTTCTTATGGAGTAGACTGTTTCTTGTATTATAGTTTCCCAGTCTTTTAGGATCCCCTGTTATATTATTTCATGGTAATAAAATCATAAACGTTATATTAGTTTATTGGGTGTTCAAAATTAAAAAAAAACAACTATGAGCTTGGATGGCAAAAGATAAAGTATGAATACTGAGAAAAGAAATGGAATTTGGTTGAATGCTCATTTTGTGCACACACTTCCTCATCTTACACAGTTTAATTCACATCAATCTTGTGAGTTTCTAAAACTTTCACCTTACAGTGAGAATTTACAATGAGCTCAGAGAAGTGTTTTCCCAACCAACTTATAAATGTCAAAGGTAGAATTCAAACCTACATGTATCCAACCCCAAGATTCTTAATGTATCCCTCACACCATGCTGATTTATAGAACTTGGGTATAATCCCTGTTCCCCATGCATGACATGGCAATCTTTGTTTACTGTGGGGTTTTTTTCCCATGACATAATTTTTAAAACACTTTATTGAACTATGATTCACATGAAAAAAGCTACATATACAATGTACACAGTTTGATGAGTTTGGGGGTAACTGTACACCCATGAAACCATCTCTAGACATGGTGACCTTTGGATTGTGTTGCAGAGGTATGAAAAAGTAAAAAGGAGATTTGGAAGTATCAGAATAATCTTGTATTTCCCCTCAAGGGAAACTAGTTGGATAGCCACACTGTTAGTACACTTAAGCAGTGTTAACTGGTACCCTGAATCGGTCAATAGATAATTTTTGCTTGATCAATAATTTTTGACACAATTTTGAGCTAATGAGCATTTACTGATCACCTACCATAATTTCATTCATTCAACATATAACTAGGTACCTTCACAACTTTCTGTTATTCAGTCCTCAAATCACTCCACATGCAAGCAAACAAGTTGGTAGATGTAATAGGTATTAGAGCCCACATTCTTCTCAATAACCATGTTATGTGAAAGCCTTCGGTCTCCGCGGGTTAAAAGTTATTTGTATAATAATAAATTGAATAATAAAATCTAATATTTTATTTGTACGATATTTATAGTGCATAGAGCACAGTACTGAAGAATCAAATCTGAGCTCAATTTACTGCTCCATCACGAACTATCTGTGTAACTTCAGAATACTTAATTTATTTGAGTCTCAGTTTCTTCATCTCTATAATATTAACACTAATCCCTATTCCACAGGAGGCAGTGATTAAATAAAGTAATGCATATAATGGTAGCACAGCTTCCGTACAGGAAGAAGGAAGTGTGGATACTTATATAGGTAGGAGATCAGGAAACTGAAATCAGTTTCCTCTGCTCAGTAAGAACTAAGATCATTAGCGGAGAAGGAATACCTAGGTTACTGTGGAATTATTACATTGCTGGAGACCAGCAGAAGTCTGAAGAGAAAAATGAGGTTTTTCTCTCTTTCTTCCATGAAAATAACCAACATTAACCTATGAAACAAAAATAGTTTTGAAAATCTCTTCTAAAAACAAAGCAGGGAACAGCTAAGGCAAGAATATTATCCGCCAAAATTCATCCAAATCCTGGGAGGCCACCAAAAGTCTAAAATAGGTCTCCAGGTCTCAAACAGCATGCTTTATTTTTCTGAAAAGTATGATATCTTGCAGGACCAGTGATACATCTCTTAGAACAATGAAGGGTTGGGCGCATGGGCTGCCATCAGGAAGAAATTGGGAATTTGGGTCTAGAACACAGAGAGAATCAGAGGAGACGCTGAGCAAGAAGTGATACCAAGAGTGCCCCACTTATGTCTCCAAACATGACTCCCAACATGAGAAACTGTTAATGAGGCAGAGCAGAAAGGGAAACAGAAATCACTTTGCACCCACTAGCAAAATGGGACTGAGTAGAACTAAATACTAAGTCACCCTGAGAAGTCCAGATGAGATGTGCTAGAAACTTGCTGAACTGGCTCTACAGGACCTGCTCCCTCTGGAGGAATGACTCGAGAATGTTGCCTCCAGGACACAAGACACAGCATGTTTATTTGGCAAATGCTTTGAGAAAACACTCCCATTTAGAAGCTATTGACTGCCTCTGTCCAGTACAAAGAGCAGGCCAGGAAATGATGGCCCCCATTCACACACACACACAATTCTTGAAAGATTACAAAAGCACTATTTACAGAGTTGATGGAAAGCAAACAGGAGGAAAGGAGCAGAGCAAACCAAAGGCAGCTGAGGTGGTAGAGACCAGGAAAGAACTGAAGACAGCAATAACATCGTTACAGAAATGGACAACAAACACCTTTTAGGTGTAACAAGACAGAGAAAAGGAAAGGACTTTAGTTATTATGATCAGCACTTCCAAGGAATTTGCTATAAAATAGAACCAAAAAATGGAGTAGCGGGTAGAGGTAAAGAGAAAGTAAACAAACAGATAATGCAGGAAATAGGAGAGAATCACAAAAGGATAAAAAGACCCCCAAATGTGCTCTAACAGACTAGTCAAACAAGTATGGCACACGACATACTGGAACTCAGTACTTTTTCAACATCTAAAGTCCAATGAAATAAATAAGGTATAGAAGAGCATACTTCATAAACTCCCATTTGTGTAAAACTGGAGACCACATTGCTTCTTCTAAGAGGAAGCAAGTGTCCGGGGCGGGGGGTGGAGGAGGGGATAAGCACAGGGGCTACATTTTACTCTATGTGCATTTGCACTCCTTAAAAAAAAAAAACCCTGTTTCACCATATACATGTCTTTTTTATGAATGAAAATGCAAAAATTTTTAAATGTTAAGAATGAATTCTTGACTCAACTTTCCCCAAAACCAGCAAATAAAGAGGTGAAGAGGGAATAAACTAGGACAGACAGAACAAAAAATAAAAAGCAAACACTTCATTAAAATGAAAATCTATATTAAGCTCCCTTAGCCACTCACTTGACTTTAAGTGGCATTGATGGTGCTGACTCTCCAAGTTATGCCTCTAACCCCTACTCTGAATTTCCCTGAATCACAGTTTTATTTTTTAATAGCCAACTACCCACTTGACATTTTCACATGCATTTCCAAGAGGCTGCTCCAATTTAACATGCCAAAATGTGCCCCTTTCTTAATCATTGTCATTCCAATAAAATGCATCACCATTTACTCATTTGCCCAAGCCAATATTCTAGGATTTATTGTTAAAATATTCTATGCACTCCCTCATCTCACCACACCCCCATGCTGACCCCTTCCCTAAAACATACACCGATTTTGTTCAGATCTATCTGGATAACTGCCACTCTGCTCCAGTTGCCCAACCTTCCCTTCTAACTGATGTCCCTATTTCCACCCTCACTCCTCTGTTATTCGTAGTCCAAGCCCCACCACCATCCTGCTACCACAATAAACTTCCTATTGACATCTGCCTCCATCTACAGGCTTATCTCATGTGCTTCAATTTATTGTACTTTGCAGAGATTATGTTTATTACAAATCAAAGGTTTGTGGCAACCCTGCACTGAGCAAGTCTACAGCACCATTTCACCAACAGCATTTTCTTACTGCATATCTCTGTGTCACCATTTGGTAATTCTCACAGTATTTCAAATTTTTTCATTATTATTGTATTTGTTATGCTCATCTGTCATCAGTGATCTTTGATGTTACAATTATAATTGTTTTGGGGTACCATGAACTGCACTCAAATAAGAGAGTGAATTGATAAAGTTTGTGTGTGTTTTGACTCTTCCACTCTCTCTCTCCCTCTCCCTCTCCTTGGACCTCCCTATTCCCTGAGATACATTATTGAAATTAGGCCAATTAACCATCCTACTATGGCCTCTAAGCATTCAAGTGAAAGGAAGAGTTGCATGTCTCTCACTTTATATCAAAAGCTGGAAATGATTAAGTTTAGTGAGTAAGGCATGTTGACAGATATGACAGGCTGAAATCTAGGCCTTTTGCACCAGTTAGCGAAGTTGCAAATACAAAGGAAAAGTTCTTGAAGGAAATTAAATGAGCTAGCCCAGTGGAACACACAAATGATAAGAACAAGAAACAGCCATATTGCTGATATGGTAGAGGTTTTAGTGGTCTGGACAGAAGGTCAGACCAGCCACAGCACCCCCTTAAACTAAAGCCTAATCCAGAGGAAGGCTCTAATGTTCTTCAGTTCCATAAGGGATGAGAGAGGTGGGGAAGCTGCAGAAGAAAAGTCTGAAGCTAGTGGAAGTAAGTTCATGAAGTTTAAGGAAAGAAGCCACCTCCATAAAATCAAAGTGCAAGGTGAAGCAGCAAGTGCTGATGTAGAAGTTGCAGCAAGTTATTCAGAAGATCCAGCCAAGAAAATTAATGAAGGTGGCTACACTAAACAACAGACTTTCAACGCAGACAAAACAGCCTTGTATTGGAAAAAGATTCCACCTAGGACTTTCGCAGCTAAAGAGGAGAAGTCAATGCCTGGTGTCAAAACTTCAAAGGATGACTGACTCTCTTGTTAGCGGGTAATGCAGCTGGTGACTTGAAGTTGAATTCAATGTTAATTGACCATTCTGAAACTCCTAGGGCCCTTAAGATTTATGCTAAATATACTCTGTCTGTGCTCTACAAATACTACAACAAAGTCTAGATGACAGGACTGTTTATAATATGGTTTACTAAGTATTTCAAGCCCATGGTTGAGTCCTACTACTCAGAAAAAACATTCCTTTCAAAATATGACTGCTCATTGACAATGGACCTGGTCACCCAAGAGCTCTGATGGAGATGTTTGAGATTCATGTCATTTTCATGCCTGCTAATGCAACATCCATTCGGTAGCCCATGGACTAAGGAATAGTTTCAACTTTCTAGTCTTATCATTTAAGAAATACATTTCATAAGGCTATAGATACAGATTCCTCTTATGGATCTGAGGCTATAGATACAGATTCCTCTTATGGATCTGGGCAAAGCAAACTGAAACTCTTCTGTGAATGATTTGTCATTCTAGATGCTATTAAGAACATTTGTGATTCACACAAAGAGGTCAAAATATCAACATTAGCAGGAATTTGGAAGAAGTGGATTCCAACCTTCATGGATGACTTTAAAGCTCAAGACTTTAGTAGAGGAAAGTAACTGTAGATGTGATGGAAATAGTAAGAGAACTAGAATTAGAAGTGGAACCTGAAGATGTGACTGAATTGCTGCAGTCTCAAGATAAAACTTTAATGAATGAGGAGTTGCTTATTTTGGATGAGCAAAGAAGGTGGTTTCTTGTGATGGAATCTACTTTTGGTGAAGATGCTATGAAGATGGTTGAGATGACAACAAAATCTTTATAATATTACATAAATTTAGTCGATAAAGCAGTAGCAGGGTTGGAGAGGACTAATTCCAATTTTGTAAGAAGTTCTACTTTGGACAAAACACTATCAAGCAGCATTGCATGCTACAGAGAACTTGTTTATGAAAGGAAGAGTCAATCAATGCAGCAAACTTTATTGCTGTCTTATTTTTTAAAATTACCACAGCCACCCCAACCTTCAGCAACCACCACCCTCATCAGTCAGCAGCTATTAACATCACGGGAAGACCTTCCACCAGCAAAAAGATTATGACTCATTGAAGGTTCATATGATAGTGACCATTTTTTTTAGCAATAAAGTATTTTTAAATTTAATTAAAATACGTACTTTTTAAAGATACACTGCTATTGCACACTTAATAGACTAAAGCATGGTGTAAACATAACTTTTATATGCACCAAGAAACCAAAAAAAAAATCATGTGATTCACTGTATTGTGAGATTGATTCACTTTACTACAGTGGTCTGAGACTGAACCCCCAATATCTCCAAGGTATGCCTGTCTAATCACCCCTCCACACTGTGGCCAGAGTTATCATTTTAAAATAAAAATAAGATCATGTAATTTACTTCCTTAAAAACCCTCTAACAACTTCACATCACACTTAAAAATAAAATCCAGGCTCCCCATCATAACCTAGAAGACCCTTCAGATGCTGACTGCTTCTCTCTCATTATTTCCCCCTTTTACATCGTTTTTGTCCTTATTCTGATTCATACACTTGGGGCCGTGGTTTGATGGTGCTAACCTTGTTTTTGTCTCAGCTCATTTACATGAGCTATTTCATTGTTCTGGAATACTCGGTCTCCATGCCATCCCACAGAGAGGCTTTCCCTGTCCAACAATCTAATGAAACATCACCCCATCGCATCACTGACTGGCTGCCCAGTTTTATTTTCTTTATTGGCTTTATATAACTATCTGTTATTTTCTTCTTTTGCTTTATTATCTGTCTATCCCCAAGTACAAGAACAAACACTGCCTAGAAAGAGTAGACTCCTTTTTGTTGAATAAATAAATGAACTCCATTTGCATTTTCAAAATGATGTGTCTAAGAAGATCTTTTACAGACACACAAAAAATGGCTTAAAAGACAAACGAAAAGCTAAGGTTTGTGATTGGCCCTGAGAAATTGGATGGCAGCCTGGCAAAGAGGTAAACTTGCACTCTTTTATAATTCAAATGCTTTGGAACCAATTTAACTTCTGTAATGGATATTGCCTCATTTTTTCTTATTTAAGAACCATATAAAGGTTTTATAGTTGTTAAGACCTGTTCTACAAAAAAAAAACTCAGACAGATTACTGGGAAGGAGATACAAGAATTGAGACCCTTTTAGCTAAAAGTAGAAGGGAGAGTGTAATACAAATCTTTGTTAACAACCATACATTTATTCTCACCCCACTCATCTTCCCTTTAAGCTATAAGCTTTAGATAAATTTTAATTGCTCAACTAAATTCATTATCTCTTTAAAACCAGATGTATAAGATTCAAAACCAAGATACAGATTCTATTTTAATATCAGAATAGCTTGTTTAACAATATAACTTTAGCTAAGTTACACTGAATGTTATTGATAACATTGGATAAGAGTATCTTTTAGGAGGTGATATTTTGAATTTTTCAACAGACAATGGAAAAGCCTCTGCTATTATAGCAGATAACATGAGACTGTTACAAGAAGTGCCTTTATATGTTATTTGGGTAATATCAGAAACTTCATAAGAAATAATTACACTTTAATATGTATTACTGACAACCAATTCTCTGAAATACTGTGGCATATTACAATCCCAACCCAACTCCTCAGGAAAGATGGGAGAAATACTGCATATTGTTTTGCATGTAATTATAAGGATTTAGATGCTTTCCACAATTGTTACATTTACTTTTATATTGACCAAAGTGGGCAACTTGTGATTTAGCAATAGAAAGCCTGAGGCCTTCTCAAAGATGGAGTCTACAGCTTTTGGAATTATACTAATCAAAATAAAATATCTAAAAGGTCACCAAGGGAGGAGGGATGGGCTTTTATCTATCTGACTACAAATGAAAAAACAGGGCTACTATTAACTCAAAATGTACTCTTGCAAGAATTTTAAAATGGCATTTCTTTCTTAATTTATTTTACTTCGACTGACCAGAGAAAAATACTATAATAACAGACAAATCCACAATGTTTACAGTCAGAATAATGCCCCATTAATCAGTGTCCTTGTACAGTGCACAACCTGTACACACATACCCACTGTCTTTGTAATTTAGAAACCTTTGGCAGAAGCTACCAGGACACATTCCTGTTCCAAATGAGAAAGACATTTCTGACATAGTTTTTAACAGTCAGAATGAACGTTTCAGGAAGTTCTAAGTCCCTCATCACTGGAGGAATGGAAGCTTCATCTTAAGCGCGTGTATTATGTGGAGGTTATAGATAAGATTTTACACGCCAAATAGTAGTAGGACTAGATAAACTTGAAGGTTTTTTTCTACTCTTAGAATTTAATGCTCTATTTAAAAGAGACTTAGTGAAACTACATACAAAATATATCTGCTCTTCTATAAATAGGAAAGTGTTAGTCATAGCTTTAAGGGAGAAAATAAATCTAGTACCATTTATTTTGTTAAATTCTTAAGAATTAAAATTTATTTTATTAAAATAATTTTTTCATTAAATTTTCATTTTTGTTTAATTTATTTTTGTTAAATTTATTTTCATTTTTTGTTAAATTTGTTAACAAAATAAATTTAAATTCTTAAGAATCTTAAGAATTTAAGACCCCTTAATGTCTTAGATTTATAAGTTGCTTGTGTTACCCTTATGTACACAGTCCCATTGATTTCTGAAAACAATGAGACAAGAAGGCCAAGTGTCAGGGAATTCCATCTTGAGACGAGAAAGCAGATGTTCAGAAATGTGATTTCCCATGAGTAAGTTTTCACAAGTGAAAGCTAAAGCAGTGACAGTCAAACTCAGATGGTTTATTTCCTCCTTTTCTTGTTTTAAATCATTCCTCCAGTTGAAAGTTTTAAATTTAATTCTGGCTTTTAATTCTAATCTGCCAAGCAAACATGGAACTATATTAAGCCATGTAATCTTTACTACCTGATAAAAGAGAAGTTTGACAGGGCATCAGATGAGATAAACACTCTTACTAGTACTATTTGTTAGCTGTCTCTCTTTCCTAATAGATTGTAAGATTGATTAGGAGAAGAAACTTGCCTCTTTTGCCAGCTAATTTCTACCACTTAGGCTCGGAAATACTAGTTGTTTGAAGGAATAAATGGTTCAACCACAATTAATTATGTGGTTCTTTATGCAATAAACCTTAGGCAATATATAAGACAAGGGATTCAACAACAGTCTTATACATAAATCCACCTTAAATGTATAATCAGAAAAACACATGGGTTTATAAAATGCCACAAGCAGACAGCCTAGATGCTGAGGTTAAATTTGTGTAGACCAGATAATCAGGTGATGGACTGCATAATCCCCCTTTTAATAGGCTGTCTGGACAGTGTACAAAAATGGATTTCTACATACTCAACATTAAATTTCAGCTCCAGATTCTTTGCCTTGGGAATGATCCCTTCTTTCCTGTACCTCGTATTACTTTCCTGTTATTTTCCCTAACAGAATCAGAGAAGGGCTGTCAATCCTAATTGAATTCAAGAAAAAAAATTTTTTTGATCAGTAAGAAGTATTAAATAATACACAGATGGGAAGAAAATGATATGCAAATAGTCCAAAAGGATAGGACATGATGGCCAAACTAGAGAATCAATATGCTACAACCAACCAAAAAATACATTGTCAATGGGACCCGGCATTGATGCCAAGGGAAATGAACAGAGGGTTTCGGTTGATTCTTCTTCATCTGGCATCAAATCTTCTTTCATTTGCTGCTTTGAGGAGAAACTCTTTCATTTTACTTCTTTTTTTCTTTTTTAAAAAATTTTTATCAAAATATAGTTGATTTACAATGTTAGCTTCAGGTGTACAGCAAAGTGATTCAATTATACATATACATATATTTTTCTTTTCAGATTCTTTTCCATTTTGTGTTATTACAAGAAATTGAATATAGTTCCCTGTGTTATACAGTAGGTCCTTGTTGTGTATCTATTTTATATATAGTAATGTGTATCTGTTAATTCCCAACCCCTAATTTATCCCTCCCCACTCTCTCCCCTTTGATAACCTCAGTTTTTTCTATGTCCGTGAATCTGTTTGGGGTTTGTAAATAGAATTTGCATCATTTTTTTTAGATTCTACATATAAGTGATGCCATATGATATTTGTCTTTCTGACTTACTTCACTCAGTATGATAAACTCTAGGTCCATCCATGTTGCTACAAATAGCATTATTTCATTCTTTTTTATGGCTGAGCAATATTCCATCATATATATGTATGTGTGTGTATATATCTCACAACTTTTTTATACACTCATCTGTTGATGGACATTTAGGTTGTTTCCATGTCTTGGCTATTGTAAATAGTGCTGCTATGAACATTGGGGTGTATGTGTCTTTTTGAATTAGAGTTTTCTCTGATATATGCACACAAGTGGAATTGCTGGATCATATGGTAAGTCTATTTTTAGTGTTTTTAAGGAACCTCCATACTGTTCTCCATAGTGGTTGCTCCAATTTACATTCCCACCAACAGCGCAGGAAAGTTCCTTTTTCTCCACACCCTCTCCAGCATTTATTATTTGAAGACTTTTTAAAGATGGCCATTCTGGCTGGTGAGGTGATCCCTCATTGTAGTTTTGATTTGCATTTCTCTAATAATTAGTGATACTCAGCATTTTTTTTCATGTGCCTGTTGGCCATCTGGATGTCTTTAGAGAAATGTCTATTTAGATCTTCTGCCTATTTTTTGATTGAGTTGTTTGGTTTTTTGACATTAAGTGGTATGAGCTGTTTGTATATTTTGGAAATTAGTCCCTTGTCAGCTGTACCATTTGCAAATATTTTCCCCATTCTGTAGGTTGTCTTTTTGTTTTGTTGATGGTTTCCTTTGCTGTGCAAAAGCTTTTAAGTTTAATTAGGTCCCATTTGTTTAATTTTGCTTTTATTTCCATTACTCTAGGAGCTGGTTTGAAAAAATATTGAAATATTGCTGAAATTTATGTCAAATAGTGTTCTGCCTGTTTTCCTCTAGGAGTTTTATGGTATCCATTCACTACATGTTAAGAATAAAATTAGAACATTCTCTAACACCATATAAAGAATTAATTCAAAATGGATTAAAGACCTATTTTTCTTATAAGACTAGATTCTTCTAGAGCAGTTTTGGATTCACAGCAAAACTGAGCTGAAAATATGTAGATTTCCCATAGACCACCTGTCCCTACACATGCATAGCCTACCCCATTATCAACATTTCCCTCCAAAGTGGTCATTTTCAATTGACTGACCTACACTGACACATTTGAATCACCCAGATGCCATAGTTTACATCATGGTTCACTCTTGGTGTTGTGTTGTACAGTCTACGGATTTGGCATAACAGATAATGACATATATTTGTCATTATGGTGTCATACAGAGTATTTTCACTGTCCTCAAAATCCTCTGTGCTCCAACTATGTATCTTTTCCCCTTGTCCCTGGCAACCACTAATCTTTTAATGTCTTAATAGTTTTGCATTTTCCAGAATGTCATGTAATTGGAATCATATAGTATGTAGTTTCTTCAGATTGACTTCTTTCATTGAATAATATAAATTTAAGTTTCCTTTATGTCTTTTCATGGCTTGACAGCTCCCTTCTTTTTAGTACTGAATAATATCCTACTATCTGGATGTACCACATTTTATCCATTCACACCCTGAAAGATATATTAGTTCTTTCCAAGTTTGGGGCAATTAATAATAAAGCTCTATAATCATTTGTGTACAGGTTTTTGTGTGGACATAGTTTTTAACTCCTTTGGGTAAATACCAAGGGATGGGATTACTGGATCATATGGTAAGAATGTATTTATTTTTTTAAGAAACTGCCAAACTGTTTTCCGAAGGGTTTGTACCATTTTGCATTCTCACCAGCAATGAGTAGGAGTTCCTGATGCTCCACATCTTTGTCAGCATTTGGTGTTGTCAATGTTCCAGATTTGGCCACTGTAGTAGGTATGCAGTGGTATTTCACTGTGGTTTTAATTTGCATTCCCTGATGATGACATATGATGTGGAGCATCTTCTTGTATGTTCATTTGCCATTTGTATATTTTGTTTGGTGAGGTATCTATTAAGGCCTTTGGCCCATTTTTAAATCAGGTTATTTATTTTCTGAATTTTGAGTTTTAAGAGTTCTTATAGTTGAATAACAGTCCTATATCAGATTTCTTTTTATCATTTGTAAAGATTTCCTCCAGGACTGTGGCTTGCCTTCTAATTCTCTTGACATTGTCTTTCACAGAGCAGAAGTTTTATATTTTAATTAAGTCTAGTTTATCAACTATTTCTGTCATAAATCATGCCTTTGGTGTTTTACCTAAAAAGTCATCACCATACTCAAGGTCATTCAGGTTTTCTAATTTTTTTCAGGAAATATCTAGAAGGAGCTTCCCTATCTTAGAATTAAGGTGGTGACTTTGTTCTCCTTGGAAAATTTATTAATGTTGAAATAAAATTCTTATATATCAGTATTGCCATTTTTCTTGATGGAAAAAAGCACTTGTTCTCTTTTAGAAAAGGTAGTAAGCTTTCTTTTCAGTTGCACTCACTCCTTTAAAATTTTATATTATCTCCTTTTCTGTCTGTATCTGTCTCTGTGATGTATATGTATTACTTACATTCCTTTTTCTAATTGAAGCCATTAAATAAAAAGGAGGCTGCTTTGAGAAGACAACTGACACTTAAAATGATAAAAATAAAACTAATATAAATTTTGCAAGGCAGTGAGAGAGGGAAGGCATGGCAAAAAGAGACAGAATATCAACTGTAATAACA